ACCAACTGAAGCAACTGGACCAATTAGTGTTGGGATGTTATAGGATGTAAAAATTTTTTTTTTTTTCAACATGACCAACTGAACCAACTAAAGCAACTGGACCAACTGAACCAACTAAAGCAACTGGACCAACTGAACCAACTAAAGCAACTGGACCAACTAAACCAATTGGACCAACTGAACCAACTGGTCCAACTGAACCAACGTAGTCCAGTTTACACCATTTTAAGCAGTACAGTGGACTACCTAGATATACTATTAAGCCCCCCCACATCAAAACCATCGACATAAACAAATATGTTGATAATATAAAGTAATAATAATTAAGAAAACATATATATTATTATTTATATATTACAATATATTATATATGATATTATTGTTATAAAAATGGGTAAAATAACCCAGAGAGGGACAGTGAATGAGACAGAATGAGTGTCGGGGACACTAAGGTAGGAGAAGGACTCGGAGTGAGGTACTTGATTTAGATGATTTTTTTTTTTATTTTATTAAACGTAAATATATAAAAGTTAATCTTCATCACTCATCAAATTCGGGTGGAAAAACGTGGAGGTCAGTGGAGCACTCGTAACTAGACGTTTCATCGTATCGGGAGCAAAATCTTGCAACAGTTGCAGACTCGTAATATGGAACGCTCGTATCTCGGGGAGGTCGTATCTCGACAGGATTACAGCTAACGGCTAATCATTAATTCATCCGTCGTGGAGGCAGTCCGTCCCAATCGCAGCAGTCGTGTCAGGGGTGAGAGAGGGTGAGTCATAGTGTGAATGAACTCTGTTGCTAGGTGATTATATTACGTGTTTTGAAGGACTTTGGCATTAAGGCCTTCTGTGACCTCTAATGGGGGAGGGGGGTCATTTCAGAGTTTTATATATTTATATATATTTTTCTCTTGCATTTGATTTTTTTAAAGGTATCACAGTGTGTTTTTTTCGGTTTTGATTTTTAACACCTGTACACTGTATTTCACCTGTGACAGCAGCAGCTTGGCAGCCCTGTTCAGACCGCTCAGTTGTTCGATGGCAGGTGTCAGCTGGTCAGATTCACACCTGCCCGCTGAGATATTCTGCAGTTTCTTCTTTAGGACCCGGAGGCTCCTCTGGTCGTCGTGACTCTAAGTTGAAAAAAGGCATTAGCATAATTAGCATTAGCATACTTATGTGAAGAATCGTCCGATAACTCAATGCCTGTATGTATGCCAAATGTATGTGCCCTAAAAATAGTGTTGGGGATAAAACGGCTGTATGTGAAAGTCACTAGATGGCAGCATTGCAGCTCATTTAATTAATCTATTTTTAATGTTGTATTAATTGTGAGTGGTATGTTTTATTCAATTGAAAATGTAAATGTGAGAATATGAATTTTCCCCATATACCACTAGAGAGCGCTCGTGTACCACCCAGAGTTTGAGAACCACTGATCTAAGCTACAGGTACAGAATATTTTTAACAAACAACACATTATTTATTTTTATTCTTAAACCGGTGTGCTATGATCAATTCTAAGGCAAAATAAAAAAAATACAAAAACGTCAGGAAAATTAACTAGCGGTGTCCGATAATATCGGCCGATATTAGCATAATTATGTAATATCTGTAAGAATCCTCCTATAACGCGATGCCTGTATGTATATGGGATATCGGAATCGAAACTTAAGTGTTTGGACAAAATCAGCGTATTGTGACTGTTTGTACCTGCAACAGCAGCGTGTCTCTCTGCAGCAGCAGCTCCTCCAGCTGCGCACGACTCTGCTCCAACTCCGACTGCTGCAGGATAAAAAAAAACAAAAACAGTGTCATTCTTAAAGTCACAGCCGACATAAAAACCGTCATCTGGTACTGACCAGGTGACTGTTGCTGCTCTGGTACGTCTGTAGCTGGTCCCTGACGCTCAGCAATTCCTGGTTCTGATGACACTGCGTCCTCTCGGCATCCCTGGTCTCCAACTGGGCTTCCAGCGTGGCTATATGGTCCCGATCCTGGACTACTTGGGCCTGCAGCGCAGCTACCTGCTGCTGGCTGTATTTAAGGTCGCGTTGCAACTGGTCCCGACTGGTCCTGGTCTGCTGTAGGGTCGTTACCAGCTGCTCCACACTTCTGGACACATCCTCAGCATCGCAAAGACTGAAAGATGAAGAATCAGAGCCAGGCTCTAGGTTCAACATAGTTCTGACCAGTTATGGGTAAACTATGGGGTCAAACTAACGGGTCAAATCCGGGGCCTCGGATTTGATCCGTTTGGATTTAACATCCGGTCTGTCAAATATTGGTACAAAACTGCAAAGAAATTACATTATTTTTACCTTTAACTTGAATTTTAGTTGAACCCCTAGGTGGCGCACTCTTGACACTATTGTCTTTGGCATTGGACTATCTTTTTACTGCACCTAACCTTTGCCATGGCACCGAACACTTGTGTAATAATAAGTGGGTCAAAGGGTAGAAACGTGAACCTTGACTGTAAGTGTTTATGTTTGAACCAACTAAAACAACTAGACCAACTAAAGCAACTGGACCAACTAGCCTGTTTCAATGTTAAATTTTGGACTTGACACTGGAAGAAAGTGCAATCCGTGTGTAGTACCTGTACTTGTCCTCACTCGGCTCCTCGGATCCACACGGAATCCTCTCGGAATCCAGGAACGCCATTTTGAAGTGGTTCAGCTCGGTTCTCGTTCGGTCCAGTTGAGCCTTGGCGTCTCTGTACTGAACTTTGGTTTGGTGTAGCCTGTTCTTGGTCTGGTCTAGTTGGACCTGGAGTCCGTGGACAACTTGTTGGACAGACGACGTGTCCCCCTGCAGACGGAACTCCCAGTCAAAACGTTCCTCGTCCTTACGGTGACATCATACACCAATTTTTTTTTTTTACTTAATTTAATCCGAATTGTGTTCATTGTCTTAAACTTTGACCAATGACCTGTGTTGTGTCCACGGTCGACTGTAGCTCGGACTCTATCATCTCTCTGATCTGTTCCTCTTTGACCTGGAACTTCACACACCCACACACCCACACACACCCACACACACACGTAATGATCATTCCATCTGTGCCAAAGTGTCAGACTGAAAATCAATCAAAAAATCAAGTGACGCTTTCACACAGTGACCTCCTGCGTTACGTGTCCCAGCGTGACCTGTGGAGTTAGCTCCTCCCTCAGATGTTTGAGCTCCTCCTCCAGCTCCACCTGCAGCCTGTCGCTCTCCACCTGTCTGCGTCTTAGAGCCTGTGCCTCCATCCGCAGCACGGACAACTCCCGCTGCTGAACAGATGTGTCCTACAGAGTCACGCGGAGATATTGATTCCCGCGTGAAGAATCGATATCTCCGCAATGAAGACACACTAACCTGGGTGTATGTGTCGACACTGCAGTGCCTCTGCATGTCCTCTAAGTGGCGCTGTAGAGTCTGGTTCTCTGCCTGCAGACTGTGAACCTTTTCTTGAGCACCGAAAGCCTGTCAATGAATGGGTACTTGATTAATATTGGTTGAGCCCAACCTAAACACGTGGAAACACACACATATATGTATGTATTTATATATGTATTATATATAGTGTGCATACATAAATATGTTTATATGTTAATTTACAAAGAAATATATAAACATATATTCACAAATATATTTATACACATATATTTGTATATTTCTTTATATATACAGTATGTTTACGTATATATGTGTGTATATATTGCACAGTACATTACAATACACTATATATTTTGCACTTATTGTGTGTATTATTTTTTTGTATTTGTCTTAATGGTTTAATTTATGATTGTACGTAGAGCTTTGTTTCCCAAAGACTGGGTCGCGACCCTCAGGTGGGTCGCAAGAATTTTTTGGTTTTTTTTGCGAATAATATATATTGACTTGGCTCACGGAGGTTTGTGAATTTTAAAATACAGGTCCCACAGAAAATATGTTTTGGGAAACACTGATATAGAGTGTATACATTAAAATTCATATATATGTACATGTAGGTACTACAACAGTCCTTTCAAGGACTCAAACTCCCATAATTCCACTGCTTCCGGTAAATCCACATACGTCACGATCAGTAACCTCCGCAACCTTTAAATTGGGGGGTCAGCCCAATATCGTTCTCTCTGTTCAGGACTTTCGCTCCGTAGGACCTCGATGAAAAGAGAAAACCTGCTCGTCTCAGAAGACTAAGAACCAACGCGCTTTTGTAGACACCATTCCCACCCCCCCCCCCCCCCCCCCCCCCCCTCGTGCACACTGACACAGCATCATGTGGGTCAAGCCTAAACTGTAATCTGTAGGCAGGGCATTCTCCAAAAACTGGAAATGTAAGTGTTCACCAAGTCTTCAGTAACGGATGTAGTCATGACTAATGGATGTCGTCATCAGGTTGTAGAAGTAAATGAGTGGCTTCTATAGTTGCGGAACTATGAAACTGAAAGCTTTAAAAATAAAAGTTTAGCTTTCGAGTTCTTGGCTATGACATTGACTAAGGTTTTTCTAAATCTACATGAAGTTATCTAAATGGCTGCTTTATATATATGTATATATATATATACTGTATACAACAAACCATTTTTAAATATATTTGATAGCCTGATACCTGAGGACTACATGAGAAGTTCATTCTCAGAACTCTGGGTTTGAATATTCTGATGGCTTCCAGAATATTTTATTTGGTATTCAAATGAAATATTTTTTTAGTTTGATGCAAAGTAAACATTCCAGTCCGTTGAAGCCAAAAGATGTCTGTCATAAATGTAATAATGATAAACGATAAACATTCTTGTATCAGTTCAAAGATGAACATCCTGCAATAAAAGACAGTGTGCCATCATTTGATAACATTTCAGGAACTGACCCTAAGACACTCACAGCTGTGGTGTGTGAGCTGCTACTAGCAGCCAGAGAAAATGCTAATAACCTTTTTATATCATATTTGATGATGCAGGTGAAGTATCCCAGGATTCATAGGCATCAGCATTGCACCTTTGGCTTTATGAATGTTTAAGTGCCGTAGCTGGACTTTTCCCATAAACTAGAAAATCATTTGATTATTTTTGTAAACTGTGTTTGTCTGTGTTGTTACTTTATTCATTGAAGCCACCCAATTTGCCAAGAACTCTCAAAATCCTTCAGATATTTAATTGTTATTGGATACTATTGATTTTAGTATATTTGTAATACTTCAAGTAATACATTATTGCTATATTAGTAGGTTAAAATAATAATTAAAGATAACTTTAATGAGACTGGTTGTGTTATTAATTTGAGACTGGTTGATAACACCGAGTGCTCCTAAGCAGCACTCGACCCATTGCACCTACATACAGTATATGTACATATACGTATATAGTGTGCATACATACATATGTTTATATGTTAATTTGCAAAGAAATATATAAACATACATATATTTACAAATATATTTATACACATATAGTATATATTTCTTTATATATACAGTATGTTTACGTATATATGTGTGTATATATTGCACAGTACATTACAATACACTATATATTTTGCACTTATTGTGTGTATTATTTTTTTGTATTTGTCTTAAAGGTTTAGTTTATGAGTGTACATAGAGCTTTGTTTCCCAAAGACTGGGTCCGCAACCCTCAGGTATATATATATATATATGTATATGTATATGTACATATATGTTTTTGATGACCATCCACCTGCTCTCTGAGTCCTCTCAGATATTCCTGCAGCCCAGAGACGATTCCCTTCAAGTCCCTTTGAAGAGCTTCGTTTGCCAAAATCTGACCTGGAGACGGGTGAGGACGAGGGGAGGGGGTGGGGATGGGGGGGATATCATTTATATTCACTGTTATACAATGACTAGCTTCGATTGCTAATCATCAATCGACCAAATTTGCAACAAGATTTTCTTACTGTCCGTCAACTGTTGCTCCAGCTCTTTGATCTCCTGCGTCTCCATTGCGATGCGTGACAGCACGTCCTCCAGGCGTTCCTCCAGCTCGCTCTGCTTGCTGCTCATTCGGTCCAACAGCCGTCCACTACTGGTAGGGACCGCGGTCAGACGGAACTAAAAGGGGAAAACGAACAATCAGTCGTAATGAGTCAGCAGATTCGAAATTAATAATAAACTTTTAGGCCTGTAAGATGTTCGTAGGTTTTGCTGATCATTATTCTCTATCTGACAGTTGCTTAATTTATTTATTTAAAAAAAAGCAATAATCAAAAAATGTTGGTCTTTTTGATTGATAACCTACAGTATAAATCCCATACTCGAAATAATCCAGAATCTTCCCTGTCATATCGGTGTGGTTTGCCACCAACCGTCACCTGTCAATCACTGCTGCCCTGACAACATAAACAATCGCTAAAAAAAAAAACATAAGCAAAGCGAACATTTGAAGTAATTTCCTTTATCTAAATATTTTGACAGTTCTACATATGCAAGTTACAACTGTAGAAAAGAGCATTTTATATTTTTATATTTATGATGGGTTTTCGTATATCGTTATCGTATATCGTTTTACTCGATTCGAGTTGTACTCTGATTTTGGCTTCTTAACAGTCTTCGGGATGTCTTTCGGTGTTATTTGTAAAATAAAATGACTTAAATACATCTTTCAGCCTCACTTAATGTTTGTTAATCACACAGAGTTTACACCATGTCTCTGATTTAGATGACAGGGGGGCCTCCCGGTAACACTCGGCGTATCCTCTTTATATTCTTTCCTATATCAGCTCACCTCCTCCCCGTCTTCCTCCTCTTCCTCCTCCCCATCGTCTCTACTTTCCATTTCCATCAATTTCTTATTGTTTCGTCCGAAGTCTGTGTTTTCCTCTCTTCTGTCTCCATCGATAAAAACTTAATCTTCTTCCTCCCTTCTGTCTTCAAACGAACACAGGAAATCTGTCTCACAGCCAATCAGATGCTCCGCTGCGGAGTCCCTTGTCGCCCTCTGACCAATGAGAGTGGCGTCATGGGGGCGGGCTCAAATGGATTTAAAGAGACACTCGGCTGTTAAACAAGAACTGAGGAAACGTTTTGAATTCGATTGAATTCACTTTATTCCAGACGAGCAATACTAAAAGCAAACAAATAGTCAAAAGCGAATTATAAATAGTCTGTCTGAAATGTTTGAATTATTATTTTTTTAAATTTAGTGTTTGGAATTGAAGCTCAATGCTATTATTGCCTGCTGTGTTGCCGTTGATAAAAACATAAATATGTATGTCTTTCTTTAGTTCACGCTAAAAAAACAAACAAACAAACAAAAAACAGGTTAAGAACCGATGGTTTAACCTATATAATATATTTCAAAGAGTTTTCTAAAATGTTTTGTGAGTCTAAATTTAAATAAACTTGACTTTAATTCAATACCTATAATGGATATTTCATGTTTACAAAGCTTGGGTTCAGTAAGTCCAGCTGGAGAGGCGTGTTGTTTGTCCTGTAGGACATGTGGTTCAGTTCAGCAAAGGACTTGGATTAAAAAAACATCCACAACTGCTTCTGCTCATACTGGTTGTTTTTTTTGTTAGGAGGAGGTGGTTTGGCTTTGGTCAACCTGTCTTTTCTGCAAAACAGATCTGTTTATCAACATGAGTCATAACCTCCAAAAAAAAATTTAAACCCCATACTGATCAGATTCTAACAGTTCTTGGGAGCTTTTATCAACAAAAGAGCTACAAGTTTGTTCGTTTTTTTTTTTTTTAATGAAATCCTCATTTGCTGCTCGTGGTAAGGTCTCGGCTATATCACTAGGTCAGAGTTTAACACCGTGGACCTCGACATCAGCACCTTATGCAACCCGAGCTGACGTCCTATAAAAGCATCTGCACAAGTCCTCAAAGCTGCGGAGGAGCCTTGAGCAACACCGGGACCTCAGTAAGTACTTTAAAAAAACACTCTGGTTGATCTGGTGCTGAATAACTTTAAAGATTTATTATGAATTATGTGGGTTTTATTTTGTTTTTGAACTGTACTGGGGTTTAAGATGGTTTTTTGTTTTTGTTTTGTTCAAATACTACATGCGTGAGTGAGTGAGTGACAGCACATTGTATTTTTAATGGCTTTTAAGCAACATTTACATTTACAAACAACAGCGGTAATACAATGTTGTTGTTTTTTTTCTTCTCACCTGGCAATACTGTGAACTCAACTCTGGTTCAATCTGCTGGGAGTTCAAACAACATGTAGCAACAACAACAATCAGGAGTCTGTTGTACGTAGTCAAAAATCGAAGTGGTCACTGATTTTACGATCGCTTAAAAGTAAACTTACACACAAGTAGTAGTGTAAAAGGTTGGCTTGGACCTTTGCTGTTTGTTTTGGCTGAACCTGAATGAAATCGTATTTGCTCCGTGCCAAAGGTTTCTGTTCATTGTAAAGCAAAAAAAAAAAAAAAAAAAAAAAAAGTTGTTATAAAGGGAATGTTTACATTTCCTAATTGTAATGTTGCGACAGTTTTTTTTGAAACACTTCCACTTTTATTCGCTTTCGCTTTCAGAATGAAGTGAAATTGTTTTTACTTAACAACATCACACTGTCTCCCACAGACATGAGCCCAACAGCCTTCACGTTCACGTTCGCGGTGCTGCTCTGTTCGTCACAAGTCGTAAGCGGAGGCAAAATCCTGGTGTTCCCCGTCGACGGAAGTCACTGGGTAAACATGCACGTCATCATTGAAGAGCTTCACGCCAGAGGCCACGACCTCGTGGTGGTACGTCCATCGGACAGCTGGTACATCAAACCCGATTCCCCTCTCTACAAGGTCATAAATGTAAACTCCTCTGCCGGGTTTGATGAAAAACAATTTGGGTTATTTGTGTCCATGATGGTTGATCTGCGTCGTAAAAAAGCCTCATTCTGGACCCGTTTCTCTGTGGAATACGAACTGGTTAAGTCCTTTTACCATATGCATAGAAAGGTACTCATGATGATGTCAGAGATGTTTGAGGACGACGAGCTCATGCAGAGTCTCCGCGATGCCAAATATGACTTAGTTCTGACTGATCCTGCAATTGGTGGAGGGACACTCCTGGCTCACCGGTTGGGTCTCCCGCTTGTTTTTAACGTCAGGTGGACGATTCAGGGGGAAGGGCACGGGGCAATTGCACCATCTCCACTCTCCTACACCCCTTTACCAGGAAGTGAGCTGACGGACAAGATGTCCTTCACTCAGAGGGTTAAGAACTTCCTCTACTACTTCTTCACAAGATTCCAAATTTGGTACGTGGTGGACACCAACTACATATCTTTTGTCCGGCGCTATTTCGGCAGCAACATACATTACATGGAGTTGTTCCAAGCGGCAGACATTTGGCTGATGAGGAATGATTTCACCTTGGAATTCCCACGTCCGTCAATGCCAAACATCGTCTACATGTCCGGATTTCAGTGCAAACCCTCCAAGCCTCTGTCCAAGGAGTTGGAGTCTTTCGTCCAGAGCTCCGGCGAACACGGCGTCATCGTAATGACACTCGGAACACTGGTGTCGAAACTCCCGGAGGACATCACTGAGGACATCGCTGCTGCTTTCGCACAACTTCCTCAAAAGGTGATCTGGAGACACATGGGGAAAAGGCCTTCCTCGCTCGGTAATAACACCTTGCTCTTGAACTGGCTCCCGCAGAACGACCTCCTGGGTCACCCCAAGACCAGAGTGTTTGTGGCCCATGGAGGCACTAATGGTATACAGGAGGCCGTCCATCACGGCGTCCCCATGGTTGGCCTCCCCCTCATGTTTGACCAGTTTGATAACTTTTTCAGAATGAAAGTAAGAGGTGTGGCCAAAGTCCTGGACATCGCAGACGTAAACAAAGACAATTTCCTGGAGGCCCTTAAGGAAGTGCTACATAAACCCAGCTACAAGGAGAACATGAAGAGGTTGTCCAACCTGCAGAGGGATCAGCCCATAAAACCACTGGACCATGCAGTATTCTGGATAGAGTACGTCATGAGGCACAAGGGGGCATCGCACCTCAGGTCAGAGTCCTACAAGATGAGTTTCATCCAGTACTACTCACTGGACGTGATCACGTTTATGCTAGTAGTTGGTTCGCTAATGCTGGCTGTTCCGATTTCTATCGTTGGATTTTTGTGGCGTAGAATACTTTCTAAGAGAAAAGATAAAAAGGAGTGATGAATTCACTGTCAAAAATGGTGTGAGACGGTGATTCGCGATGGAGTCAAGAACGAACGGAGTCAAAGAGTAAAGATCTGGTACAAATCGCCTGTTTGTGTCGACTTGGTCAAAGAGAAAATGTGAATAATATTAATCTACCACTATAAATAGAATACGCTTTAAAGTTTGTCTCATGATGTCTTAACATCTAATGATAAGAAGTCAAACGAAGACTAGCGTTGGACAACAATTAAACTTTTAACAACGATTAATTACACAATTGTTTCTGTGATTATTTGCAATTATTGCACTGGTATGTATGTAACAAATGTGGGGGCACAATGGGGGGATACATTTACAACGTAAAAAAATAAAATATAATTAAACACAAAATCAACTCTATGTGTCACTGACAAAGCAGCAAATTTTTACTGTATCAAATTTTGGCGTAGAAAACAAAAATACCCTCAAAGTATATGTAAACAATCCTAAACAATCCTTTCATATGACTCGTGACTCCCATATGAGTCTCATATGAAAGATTTGTTCATATTGAACTCACGAATCACTCACTGCGAACTAATCTTTCGCTGTGAACGAATCATTCTCTGTGAATTAATCTTTCGCTGTGAACTAACCTTTCGCCGTGAACTAAACTTTCGCCGAGTGCACTATTACCACCTCATCTGCTGCTAATTATATTACTATATTTATCATGTACCTCATGTATATATTTTTACAGACCATACAGCACCTTAAAGCTACACATGCACCTTATTGTTATTGCACCTTAATGTTTTTCATTCAGTATTGTCTATGTCTGTCAGCGCACGGGAAGGCGAGGAACGTAATTTCGATACCTCTGTATGTTCTGTACATGTGAAGGTATTGACAATAAAGCTGAC